CCGATCGGGCACAGCGGGCGGCAGGGAAAGCGGAGGGTGCTGGGAGCCAGCCCAGTGACTGTCAGAGAGGTGTGAGGAGGGGAAACGGGGGGCAAAAGACAGGGGAAAGAGGGGGATCAAGGGCCAGGACCGCCAGCAGGCGGCGCAAGCGGCTCAGAGACGCCACCCACCCCGGCACAGAAGCTGGGGGAGCGGCCAGGCGGGCGGGCGGGGACCGCCTCAGAGGGCAGGCGACACAGGGGGTCAAGGCTCAGGTCAGATCACACGGGAGAAGGGGGCAGCCAGCTGCCAACGAGGAGAGGGGAGAAAGGGGGACGCCAGAGAAAGCACACCGAGCGGCAACGCGGCAAGCACAACAACGCACGAGCAGGCACAGGCGCACAGGCACTGCAGCATACTGCCGGCGGGTTCCCCATGGCGTGACTGCGGAAAAGCGCAACCACCTCCATTGGTTCCTAGCACACCTCGCACGGCGCAACAGCCAGCCAAGGCCTGAGGGTACCACAGCCAGGCAGCAGCCGACAACGCACGGGCAACCAGACGCAAGCCGGCACAGGAGGCGAGCAACGCGGCAGCAAGGCGGCAGGCACAGGGCAGGCAGGCAGAAGACGGGCAAGAGGGAAGACGGACACGAGAAAAGGCGTGAGGAGGGCACAGTCAGGAGAAAGGCGGGGAAGGGCCAGGCGGAGCTGACAGACGCTCAAGCAGGGGGGGAACAGGAGGGGGGCGGAGCTGAACGCGGCCGCCGGCAGAGAAGAAAAAGGGGTGGGCTGGGCCAAGGCGGCCAACCAGGAGGCGGGGGCACAGCCCAGGCCTCAAAATCAGCAATTGCCTGCAAGAAGGGACCAGAAGACTGGAGCGTCGCACGACGGGCAGCCTCCAGTGGCGTGGCTGCGGGCTGCAGGGCTGCGCCTGGCCCTGCAGCGGGTCTTGAGTGCCGTCGCTGGAAGAGGCCGCGCCGGCAGAGGCTGTGAGGCCAACTGGCGCAGGAAGCCGTTGAGTGTGAGCTGGGTGAAGCGCGGGCCGGCGAGCTTGGCTGGCGGGGCATCACGGCGGCGCCGCACCTCGGCCGCCAGGCTGCGGTGGCCACGATTGACTGACCGACTGACTGAGATTACAGAGAACCGGGCCCTTTAAAGGGCTGGGGGCACACAAGCCGCGCCCACTAGCTCTGGACAATACGAGTATGAAACCAACCATCAGACAGGGCGGCGGAGCGCGGGGCTGCGAGGAGCCGATCGGGCACAGCGGGCGGCAGGGAAAGCGGAGGGTGCCTGGGAGCCAGCCCAGTGACTGTCAGAGAGTCGTGAGGAGGGGAAACGGGGGGCAAAAGACAGAAATTGTGTGTGTGTGTGTGTGTGTGTTACAGGGATTGGGCACATTGGGAAATTGACTGCGCTGTGACGGCTACCGCGGCATTGCCGTGGGCACACTGCCGGCCAAGCTGTTTGCCAGCATGCTTCAGAGCAGGTTTACAACCCACACTGAGGCGGCGGGCATTCGGGCATCTGGCCAGGCGGGGTTCCGGCCAGGGTACGGTTGCCGTGACCAGCAGCTTGCACTGCGAGCCATCATTGAGCGGCAGCGGGCGCGTGGGCAGCCGTTGTATGCCTGCTATGTGGACTTCAAGCAGGCCTTTGATAGGGTCCCGCGGCATCTGCTGTG